TTTTAAAGATTCCCCATTTTAAAGATTCCCCATTTTAAAGATTCTCCATTTTAAAGATTCCCCATCCTAAAGATTCCCCATTTTAAAGATTCTCCATTTTAAAGATTCCCCGTTTTAAAGATTCTCCATTTTAAAGATTCCTGGTTTTAAGAATTCCCCATTTTAAAGATTCCCGCTTTTAAAGATTTCCCATTTTAAAGATTTCCGGTTTTAAAGATTCCCCATTTCAAAGAATCTCCGTTTGAAAGATTCCCTATTTTAAAGATTCCCGCTTTTAAAGATTCTCGCTATTAAAGATTCCCCGTTCCCCGTTCCCCGTTCCCATTCATCGATTTCCCATTCACCGATTCCCCATTCCTTGTTTTAAAGATAGCCGCCTGAAATCTAGACAGGTTGATAAGAGATTTATTGAATGAACTAAAGTGTCTAGAAAAAAATTCCACGGTTACCCACTGTAATGATATCAGTGAAGATGATGATGATGAAACCGTTTGCACTGGGCTGCAAAAACCTTTCAGATCTTTCGGCTTCAAATTTTCCGCTACCAAAATGATGGTAGTAGCTTGACAGTTTGATTCCGTATGGCATGTTGGAACTCATAGGAACATGCTTTAGAAGCCTTCAGTCACGTTAAACATTCGTTGAAGATGTTTAACATTTTGAAACACCGTGTGTGGAATAGTTTCGGACACAGCATGCCACATAACTGTTTTTGACACATTTTGGCCCTCATTTATACTGAGCGTATTTTATCACAACAGCTTTATCAATTCTTTGAGGATGAATTATTTGTCTGCTTCCTGTCCGAACCACAGCTGTCAGGCTGCATGCTTTTGCCTCGTCCCAGGTCTTCCGCGCCAAGGAAAATAAAAATAAAAACCCGCAAAAAGTAAAAAGTAGGAGCGCAGGCTCAACCCTGACCGCGTTCCGCGCCCGTCTCTCTTTCATCCGCCGATCGCGCTTCAGTCCACATGAACTTTATTTTATCAGTCAGGCTCAAGTCGTTTGGCTTGTGTAGAGTCAAGAGGCAGCTTATTGGTATCAAGACGTTACTTTACTGAACGATTTCATTACTTTACTGAGCGAGACATTGCCGGCAAGGCCGAGGTTTGAGATTTTCCCGTAAAGACCGAACGTTCGAGGTTCATAAGATATGGCTTTTTGCTTTGTCTTTGTAGGTCCGTAATCGTCGGCGGGCATTACGAGAGAATAATGCCCTAGAATTAGCCGGTCAGAGGGCGCGTTATATCGACTACAAACACGAGCTATGTAATAAAAAAGGTTTAACAAATGTTTGCAAGATTGGGATGAGACTGTTTGAATCGTTTGAGGCCCCAAGAAAATATTTCTTTATTAATAGTTTCTTTTTTTCAGGTGCTTTGTGTAGTGAAATTGATTGGATCACAATGGATATAGAAGGCATATTTTTCAACACTACAACATTGACCACAGGTTAATAAATAAGTTGATATTTATTTTATATCGGCAATTTATCATCAGTGTCATTCATTTCTATTGAGGGTTTACGTGGGGGTGACCAGCAACATTTTCAGTGATTTCCCATTAGCTGTCATGCACAGTTTCAGCTTATTTTTTAGCTATCGGTATTAAATTTTGCAGATGGTAACTCAGTACCACTTGAAGGACGTCCCATTTCTCAGTTGACAGTTAGCATTTTGAACAATTCGCAGCTGTAAGTGAAATTGCAAAGAGATCCTCTTATTGTTGCCTTGCCTTATATTCAAGAAGACTCACAGCTGTCTTTCGTAAAGATAATAAGATTGTCCTGCGCGCGAAACATCAAGGAGAGGTTTACATCACCACTTGTCGTCATTTTCGCCATCGTTATCATAGCATACTGTAAAATCCTGGTGCAGGTCTCCATGGTTACAGGACAGCACACCTGCTAACCAAAAAATAATTTCGAGTTATCATCCTCCCGGTTAGAAGCCACGCCCATACCCACCCCTCGAGTTTTGTTTGGTGAATTACAGACTAGTTGTACTTCAAATAGAATTCCGCAGATTAAATTTTCATCAGTTTAGATTTTGTGAAATGTATCCCTCATCGAAGTCTTTTCAAAAGTCGTTTCTTGCAAACTCATTCTCAAACGTTGTTTGTTTAATGCCATTTATAATGATGTTTCCTTTGGATACAATCTCCTCGACTTATTGTTACAGGTCCTCTAAAAGCCTCTTATGAAGGTTGTAAGTTTAGGTTTATAAGTTTCTTAGTTTACTTTCCGGCCTTTCAACGTTCTTTCGATTTTTTCTTTTGTTTTTTTTCAGGACAGAACCTGACTTCCAACGCGTCCGCCGCTGGCTTTGCCCTCAGTCCAGGCTTTATCACCGCAGTCACCGTTTATGCCGTCGTAATTTTTATTGTAGCCGTGATCGGTAACTCTTTGGTAATATACATCGTGAGCGCGCGAGAATATATGAGAAACTCAACCAATATACTGATCGCCAACATGGCGGTAGCGGATATTTTAATGGCTTGTATTTTCCCTTACATGCTCAAATGGCTTTACGTGATGAGTCTGTGGTTTGGAACGTTCATGGGAACAGCTCTGTGCAAGTTCTTTCATTCCGCTCAAGTTCTCTCCATCGCCTGTTCTGTGATAAACCTTGTCTTTATAAGCCTTGATCGATGCATTGTCATTTGGTTTCCTTTACGACGAATCTTCACAAACAAAGTTCTGAAAGCGTCTCTTGTAGCGAGTTGGATTTATTCGCTTGCTTTCGCTATGCCACTGATCGTGATGACCACGACACGCCGTGATGCCGAGGGATCTTATCACTGTCGCGAATTCAACTGGCCCACTCCACGTGCTAAAATTGACTACACAACAGCTTTTACGATTTGTTCGTATATTGTGCCCCTCGTCATTATTACTATTGCATACATTCTAATTGCCGTTAAACTTTGGAAGCGGGAATTACCGGGTCATCAGACACTGGAATATCAAAAGAAAGCCCACGAAACGACCAAAAAAGCCATTACAATGCTAGTCACAGTAGTGGCCGTGTTTGCACTGTGTTGGCTTCCACTGCAAGCGCGAGAATTTATGCTGAACTATTTCCCTGAAACGATCTCACTCTTTCCTATAGAACTAGAAGCCTTTCTTCCGTGGATCGGTGTTTTGAACAGCGCCATCAATCCTTGCTTGTATGTGATCTTTTCTGAGAACTTTCGTCGCGAGTTTGGTCGAATTCTTTGTTGCGTGAAAAGTAACCGCCCCGATGCGTATTTGGGGATCCCAGCTTCAAGGGCCACGCCCATGACTACGCCCGTTTTATCTCGGCGCCATCTGTCAGCTACCAATGTACATGAAACTGTTCCTCTACGCCATTTAACAGTAAATGGTAAATAGACTGACTTGTTTATCGAATTTACACGTTGCATAGAGAAAGGATGATCCTAAACTTCATTTGCTTGCTTGTTACTTTTACTGCCTTTTCAAAGTGAACGTCGGTTTTGATAGTGATGAGGCGAGTGTACGTAACACAGAAGTGCTGGCACAAGGCAATTTTCCTCGTAACAATCATCGAGGAATACTCATCGTGAAATTAACATTTTAATTTTGTAAACAATCCTGCCGATCATTACGAAATGCGTGAAACAAAATCTGCGATCCATTCAGGTTCAAATTGGGAGAAGGGAGGGTAATACAAGGCAACATAATAAATTTAATTGAATAAGAAAATGGCGACGGCGGAAAATTTGAAACCGTCCAAAATTATTTATTTTTTATGAACAAGTTAATCTGATCAGCCTCCGAAGTATTTTTTGGTTTCTACTGATTTAATTTCAAAATTGCAGTGATCGTACATGAAATAAATTTTGAAATTCATTTTATTAATATATCACTGATAATTTAAGTTAAGTTATTTTTGAATCACAGGTCAGAACAGTGTGCATACGATTGCTTGTGAATTGGAACTAGTGTTATATCAGAAAAAGGCTCGTGTGCTATTATTTGTTTAGTTCAGGAAGCGTTTGTGCATTTTTCACATGTTAGGTGTTGAAGTCTGTCACGTCAGTACTTCGTGGAGAAGCGCGAAGTCACGCTTCACGCAAGAATCTGAGGTCTTCAATTTCTCCAAGCTTTTTCCTCTTCTTTTTACATTTTCTCTTAAATTTATTTATACCGATGGTTGTGTTATCAACAAGATTAATCATTGTGTTTAGTCGGATATCTTATAAACCAAGCATGTAAGCTTGTTTGCTCTTTCTCATTTTGATTGGTCTTTCATGGCCTTGGGAGCAGGGCATTGTTCACGTGGAATTGCTGTTTCAAAGCGAGACATTTGTGTGGTATTGTATAACTTTGTTTATTTAGTCTGAGCAAATATGACAAAAAAAACCCAACCAACTAAACAACAACAACAAAAATAAAAACAAAATAAAATGACAGTTTGGAAAGCATCCAGTCGCAAATGGAAGAATTGTCAGATAAATCACTCGCCAGGAAAAAGATTTTTTCAATCTGACGTTTGAACTTGACTTTCAAATTGTTTTCTAACTTCTGCTTGCACGTGCCGAGAAAACAGCATTAAAATCAAATATAAAATGGGACTATGTGAGTTAGTCTTTTATTTTAAGTATTTAAAAACTTATTTGTCGTATTAAAGACCGAATTTCCCTACAACTTGAAAGTACACAAATTTACTGGCTTATGTATAAAATCTTTGTAAGAAAAAAAGAAATTAAATTGCACTCTGTCGTGTGGTCAGTCGGGAGTTGTTGTGTCTTCCCTTCTTAGGTCGAGGTAACCGGAGACATTCGTAGTGGATGGGCCATTACATTTTCGAGGGGAAGGCTGGGCAATTTCCAAAACAATTCATGCACAGAAAAAACTGCTGAAAAAAAAAAAAAA